GAAATTATGCGCCGAATAAAATACGCGATATAGATGTTAAAATGCGATTAATTCTTAAGGACGATGAGCCTGTGTATCAGCGAGCGCGGAGATGTTCCGAACAGGAGAAGCAGGTAATAAAAACACAGATAAGCGAATGGATGCGTAAGGGTGTGGTGCGGCCGTCGTTGTCAGAGTATGCAAGTCCCGTGGTGCTCGTGAAAAAGAAAGATGACACATATAGATTATGCGTAGACTACCGACGTTTAAATTTGAAAATAGTAAAGGATCGTTATCCCTTGCCGCTGATCGACGATCAGCTGGATCGATTACAGGACGCGAGAATATTTACGACCTTAGATTTGGAGAACGGGTTTTTTCACGTTGAGGTGGATGAGGACAGTAGAAAGTATACCGCATTTATTACGCCTGACGGACAATACGAGTTTCTTAAGATGCCGTTTGGCTTATGTAATTCGCCGGCCGTTTTCCAGAGATTCGTGAACGCTGCTTTTCGCGACTTTATTGGCGACGGAACGGTGTTGACGTACATGGACGACTTGATCGTACCATCGGGAGATAGCAGGGAAGGCTTGGAGAAACTGAAACGAATATTCGACAGGGCGAGTGAGGCGGGATTATCAGTAAATTGGAAGAAGTGTCAATTTTTAAAAAAGAAAGTAGAATTCTTAGGTCATGAGATAGAAGCGGGTAGCATACGGCCGTCGGCGACAAAAACGGACGCGGTCACAAGATTTCCTGAGCCGAGGAACGTGAGGCAGGTTCAGAGTTTTCTAGGATTGTCAGGTTATTTCCGTAGATTTATTAGCAGTTACAAACTCGAGGAGCTCGCAGTCATTAAAGCTTTAAAAAAATTTCGCGTGTATCTGATAGGCATTCCTTTTAAGATATTGACAGATTGTAAAGCGTTTAGTCTCACTATGAGCAAAAAAGATTTATGTGTGCGCGTGGCGAGGTGGGCTCTGCAATTGGAAGAATTTAATTATACGATTGAGCACCGCCCCGGGAAAGCGATGGCGCATGTTGACGCGCTAAGTCGAAATCCGTTGCCTGTGTGTATGTGGAATGAGTGCGAAGATAATATAATAACGCGAATTCGGAAAGCTCAATACGAAGACGTTCGTTTGCGAGAAATTATTGAGCTGGTGGAGGCGAAAAAGACTGATAACTTTGTAATGCGAGCAGGAATTTTATATAAATTAACTAGCGATGAAGAGCGAATGGTGATTCCCCGACCGATGCACACGCAAATTATCCGGTACGTACACGAAAAAGGTCATATGCCAGCGGGTAAAACTGAGCGTATAGTCGCGAAAGATTATTGGATTCCGGACTTAAAAGCGAAAGTCGAAAAAGTTGTTCGAAATTGCGTGTTGTGTATCCTAGCCGAAAGGAAGTATGGTAAGAAGGAAGGATTGTTGCATCCCATCGAGAAGGGAGAGACTCCTTTGGACACATTTCATCTTGATCACCTGGGACCGCTCCCTTCGACGCGGAAACAGTATCGATATATACTGGCGGTAATAGACGCGTTTACAAAGTTTGTATGGCTTTATCCTGTTAAGACGGCGAACACAGCGGAGGTGTTGGCGTGCTTAACAAAACAGTCGCATGTTTTTGGAAATCCGAGAAGACTTATTTCGGACCGCGGGTCCGCATTCACCTCCAACGATTTTCAGGAATATTGCAAGGCGGAGGGAATACAACATGTCCTTACCACAACGGGAATGCCCAGAGCCAACGGGCAAGTCGAACGGGTCAACCGGACGTTAATTCCGCTGTTGACAAAGCTGTCTGCCCCCCGACCAGAAGAGTGGCATAAATATTTAGATACAGTGCAGAAATATTTGAATGCCACGCAACATAGGAGCATTGGAACGACGCCCTTCAGGTTACTGTTCGGGACAGATATTAAGATAAAAGACGACGTCTCCATCCGAGAATTGGTGGAGAAAGAGCTAATTTCTATATTCGAAGAAAACCGTGATGAAATAAGGAGTCAAGCCAAGGAAATTATTCGACAGACACAGCAGGAGAATCGCCGAGGATTCAACAAGCGAAGGAAGCCGGCTATGCCTTACGTAGTGGGCGACCAGGTGGCTATCAAAAGAACGCAGGCTAACCCTGGGTTAAAATTTGCGCACAAGTATTTGGGCCCGTATCGAGTTAAAAAGATATTGCGAAATGACCGCTACATCGTCGAGAAGGTGGGCGTACATGAAGGGCCTTACGAGACATCCACTGCAGCTGAATACATGAAGCGTTGGATAAATGAAGAAGATGAAATAACGACCGATGACGAGGTTTCCGAGGAGAATATCTGAGGACAGATATTAACGCAGGATGGCCGAATGTAGGAATCGAGAATTTATCGTCTTAAGTCCGTTTTTATTTCAAGTTGTTTTGATATATTGTTATTTCTCGTGTTGACGAATCGGTCGTGGCCGAAATTTATTGTGACTTGCGGATCTATTGTCTCGAGCCCGTATTTGTCTTGAGACAGTTTTTGTACTCTTGTTTTGCCATGCGATGGATTAGATATGCGAATTTGAACACTCGATGTGTCGCTTCCTGATTGGCTCACGCGGGGCTTGACGAAGATATAAAGCGTCTCTCCCGAGGTTCCGGGAGAAGAGCACCGAATTTCGCGAAGCCGTAGAGTACGTAGAACTGCGGATAAGTTATCTGAATATACCTATATATTAAACCATTTCTCGTAATACATTATTATTTGATCCGAAATAAGACACGATCCGTGATTCCTACATATATAATCTCAAGAAAGGTGTTTGAATTAATTCTAAGCAAAAATAAACGAAACATGTATTTTTACAATTTTCGTTTAGTTTATTCGCTTAGAATTAAATCAAGGATCTTTTTTGGGATTTGTATGTGCAAAAGGTAAAGTATCTTAATGTTATAGTAATATAGCAGTTATATAACAAAACGGTAATTAATTACATTATATTAACGTTACAGTTACATTACATTAATATAACACCGCAGCAAGTTATGTTACTGTTATATAACTAATATATAATTGTTATATAATTATATAACAGTTATGTAACATTTCAGTTACATGTTATATTTATGTTATGTAACTGTAACATTGTATGAGTGGGAAATTACAATTAACATAGACGTTACATGTAATATATACGTTATATTACGTGTTACATTCAGTTATATTGTAACAATGTTGCTGTTATATATTTGTGTTTGCTGGGTTTTTACTTTTCCATACATCCATGCGCATTCTTGTTTCATCGGTATATAATACGAATAGAAATCTAGTTTTTTCTGAAATGGCTATCGAAAAATTTGTGTTACTCTGTGAACACATTTATGGCTTAACTTTTTTGTCATATAATATACACCGAATTCTCCATTTGGTCGAAGATGTACTCCGATTTGGCCCTTTAGACAGTTATTCAGCATTTCCATACGAAAACAGCATGGCTTTTTTCAGAAAAATGTGTAGAAAACCACATCTTTCCTTGCAGCAAATTGCTGCAAGACATGCAGAGAAAGAGCAGTGCAAAAAGAAATTTATTGTACAGAATAATTGTATGAAAGTGTGGAAAAAACACGAGGAAGGTCCATTACCTTTTGCTGACGCTGATTCTAGAATATATGATCAATATAAATTTTTGAAAACTCCGGATATAACAATTGGTGTTTGTGCACGCGATGATTGTTACATTTTATCAGATTCAAGTATATGTTGCGTAAAAAATATTTTGCATTATAAAAATGATTATTTTATTGTTGTTAAAAAATTTCAGCAAGTAGTAGATTTTTCAATATTGGCATTAGTTCATCTTTTGCCGGTATTTATAAATGCTCTGAATTAACTTATAATTATGATATTATCTCATTACAAGATGTAAAAGCAAAATGTTTTAGAATGCCTCATTTTACTTGTCTCCCTAGTAATGAATTAATGTAAGATAAAATAGTACAAGATGAATTTATCGTTGCAGTAATGCAATAATAATGAATAAAACAATCTATTTTTTATATTATTATTAATAATATTAATAATTTATTAATATACTAGAAAATATGTATATTAAAAATATGCTCTCTATAATATAATTATATATATGTAAATAATAATAAATTTGTGTACCTATCGAAAGTGATCATAAACTTTTGCCTTAAAGAATTGTTAGATATGACCTACTATATCTCATAAATCATCTTAAAATATCTGCAGGTTTGTTACACATACTTGTTACTTTATGCTAATTATCGCAATAACATTCTTATTATTCTTATCTTTTAGATCCACACGATTTTCAAAAAGGTCTTTGAAAAAGCCACCTCGATATAGAACTACTTCGAGCGAAGAGGAAATAAGAGCTAAAAAGACTAAGCGTATTAATGAAGAAACAGCGAAGAACAAAGTTTCATCTGTTATGCAGAATATCCGTACTACGTTTCAAAATGTTTCAAATAATACTGAAGAAAACACAGTATGCAATTTTGCACAAGCTATGCACCGAAAAACTGTTAATAACTTTCATTCAGTTAATGCGAATAATACAAGTATTCCGTCACGACAATTCAGCATTAATAGAAATAGTTCTCAACGTAAAATCCTGCAAGAATCAAACATTATAACAGAAAACATTAGACAACCAGCTGTTCAGCTAGGTAATATTCAAAATTTAAGAAATGATAATAGACAGCTCTTAAACAATGTACAACCACGTTGTCAGCAATCTTCTCAAAATATTACATTCAACAATCCATCAGAAGACTCAAATCATACACAAGAGGTGGAAAATACAGTATCAGTTGAACCACTTCAAGAGGAAAACAATGCACCATTACTGAGACAAGGAAATGATGTACAAATTGAAATACTTCGCGACATACAGCAGAAAATACAGTACGTTATATATATTTTTATTATTAATTATTAACAAGTAGATAATAATTCTGATTTAAATGATATATATTTATTTTTTTCTGATAGTTTGTAATAGTTTATGAAGGTTTTCAAAAATTACAAGTTTTTTTTTAAGAAAAGATTTATATCTTGATTTTTAAACTTGACATGATATATTATTAATTATAATTTATTAATTTCAGAGAAATAAATAGGCGATTGGATTCGCTAGAAGAAAAAATCGATGGCAATATTATAAATGCAATGCTCATGAAACCGCGAATCCTCCCATTTTCAAGTATAGATACGATAAAAAGGTTCACAAAGGAAGACAGGGTTCTTTACAATGAAGTCGTAAGTTAAATTAATATTTTACAATTTTACACACACGCACATACATGCACACATATACAATATATGCATTAGGGTGGAGCGTTTTTAAGTTATTTTCGAAATTGCGAATGCCAGGGTGTGGAATGAATGCTTTTTTAGAATAATATAAAGTCCACAAAAGCTCAGTTGTCATGTGCGACTTCATTGTTAGCTTCCTAGATGAAAAAAGTTTTTGTAAAATAATGCTTTTGAATGTTATTAAATCAATAAATTAGGATTTAAATTAATTGTTGCATTACAATTAGTGCTAATTTAGGTTAATAACGGCGGTAAAAAATTTTAGTTATCTCAGACTTGATCTTCAGATATCTAAAATAAACGATTTTGAGAAAAAAGCAAGGAAAACTACACTAGTTAAATTCGCTCCACTTTAATATGCATATATGTATGTACGGTACTCGTCATTAATTCGTTTCAAGTCCTTAGCGAGTCGATATAGGATATGTAACATATTCTATATCAACTATAGAGATCGGGAACTAATTAATGGTGTGTACGTGTATTTTATTAATTTCTTTTTATGTTTATTTTCTATAAATCACCGTGATTCTATTATTACATAGAAAATTATTTTTATTACAAATCGAAGCATTTACGGAATTATTGCGTTTTATAATTATATCAAAATATATTAGACAGCATATATATATATATATATATATATAACTAGCTTAAGTTTTTATTTTTGTAATAATTAGGTTTTGTAGGTAAACTACTTCAAATTTTTAAATTGTATGACGTTAAAAGACAGCGTGCATCAATGTGTAAAAGAATCTATAACAATGCAAGTAGCAACGAAACTGACATGGTGGGGTGTTCCTGATGTTAAATTCCCATTTTACAATACAGTTTTATGTCAAGCGATTTACCGTATGTATACAGCATATATGTATATTTGTTATTCCGTTGTCATTATTATACAATATTGATTGTGATACCAAAAAATATTATATCTATTATTTTTCAGAAGCCGTAGGATCGAATCGGTACTACCTTAAACCAACCAGAGAAGAATTTCAAAAAGAAGTTGTGGCATCTATAAAAGTTGCAAAACAACGTTTGCGAAATGCCAGAGAAAGACATCCTGGAATTCAAGGGAGGCGAAGAAACTTGCAGGCTGCTGCAGATGCATTGTATAATGATGAAAACGTTAGCAATCACGAAGATGATGGAAATCAAAGCGAAGATAGCGGCGAGCACATTACATACGCAGAAAATGAAAACGATAGCGACGAGCACTCTGATGAATTATAAATTTTTCTACGTTTTGTCTAGTATATACGTATATATATTAGATTGCTATTAATAAGTTTGATTCTTTATTTAAAAATTTTTTTTATTAGACTTTAATAATTGATATTTTTAATAGCAATATAATATATAAATATTAATAGCAATATTATTATTAATAGCAATATAATATATGAATACCTATATGTACCTAAAAGAGGCTGCTTACAAACTTACAATTAGTGTTAGTACAATATAAAAACCAAAGCAAATATTTTATGATGCTAATACATATTTATAATACAGATTTAGAATTTATATTTTTTTAATACAAGTTTTTTTTAGTTTTTTTTACATACGAAGTGTTAGCAACAAACATTTATTAAATAAATATATATATATATATATATAATTATAAACATATTGCGTATACACTTTTTTTGTTTTAAATTTATAATAAAATATATGTAAAATATATATACACAGAAATTTAATAAATTATATATGGCTTTTAAATATTTGTAGTAGTAACAATGTAATTGTAATGTCACTTCTCTTCTTTGACATTACAATTACATTGTTACGAGTATTTAAAAGCCTTATATAATTTATTAAATTTTTGTGAAAGCGAATAACCTATTAAAATCCTTAGTCTTTTATTAACGGCAACGGTTTCCTTTAAAATGTCATCAAAGTACTAGTAAATGTTTTGGAGACGGAAATTGTTTTTATCATGTTGTCCATTAGTTTCCACCAATTTTCGTATAATTCATTTTTAAAAAGCAACTGTTGCCATCATGTTGCCATCAAATTGCTTTCAACTGTTGGTGCCAATAAAAAGACAGCAATTCAATAGGCAAAATCGGAAGCCGCTTTCCTCAATATGGAAAACAACTTAAGCAAATAAATTCGAGCAATTTGACAGCAACCTGTGGGCAACTGGCTATCTGGGCATATTAAATTCGCATCTTGCAGTTTTATGTACATAAACATGGTGTATATGATAATAATAATAGAAATTGTTTTAGCTGATTTACTTTCGTCAACACAATTAATGACAAAACCACTTCAAAATGTCGAACAAGTGGCGAACAAACAGTCTGTTAATGTAAATAATAGAGAATTGCGATTACTTAAAAGACGCCAAGTTCGTGATAAAAATTAATATGTGATAGGTAATATTTGTTTATATTTATTAAGTATTCGTTTAATTTGTTCTTCTATGAAATAGAACCTTTTTTTTTTTTTTTATAGTCAGGAAATTTGCCTAAACCAAACTTCGCCGTCCTGACCCTGAGGGAGGGTCAGGAGGCTTCGTGGTAGATTCCCGCCCGTAGTATCCCGAGGGACTATCGGGCGGGGGACCGACCTAAAACCTGATTGAAGCCCCTGGTCATATGGGTATTGTCCACCGCGGAACCGCGTTAGCATTACTTCACGGTGGACACCCGACCGGCGTCCTTTAGGAAGGACACATCCCCCGAGAGGATACTACAGGTATCCCCCCGGAGAGGACATCCCTTGCCCCGAAAGGGCATCGAGGGGAGCCGGGCTACTAGCTCCCCCCGGACTTCCCAGGGTCGACGTGCAATGAGAGCGGGGCCCCCACCCCTCTCTCTGCCAACCCGGTAAGTGAGGTGACCGCAGTCACCCACCCACACACAAAACGTCACAGGACGATTATAGTACATAACGTGCACCAAACATGTACACAAACCACATTGATACATAGTAAGGGCCCCAGGCCCAGCCCCCAAGTGGGGCCAACAACAAGGCGCTATGGCCAACCACAATAAAGGTGGGAGGGTTGTTACTCCCACCTATGACAAAGGACAATAAAACTATGAACAACATAAACTTGGCGTGGGTGAAGAGGCCGCGGAGTCACCTCTCGGCAACCTCCCCGGCGCTCCATCACCCATCGCCGCAACCTACAACATAAACTTGGCGGGGCAGGGAGACCACGGAGTCACCTTTCGGCACCCTCCCCAGAACTCCCCGCACCCACCGCTACACACTACGACAACAAAGGACAAAACCGACACTAAACATCGGGGGCAGAACTGCAGCCCGGCACGGGGGAGCCGCCTCTCCGCGACTTCCCCCGCCCCCGGCTACAGTCTACCTTCGTCCACTCCGGGCTCACAGGCCCCCCATCGGGGCGCCCCGGAGCCCGCGCGCGCTCAGTGACAGGAGTGTTCTCCCGACGCCTTTTGGGAGGCACGCGCACGCGAGCGCAAGACAACGATCCGCTGCGATGTCCCGCCGGCTTTCCTCTCGATCCGCACGATAGGCATCGGGGCGGCGCCACACAATTAGCCGCTCTATGACCCGGGCAACCACATCGGTAGCAAAGACCACTGCGATCCACATCGGCGCCACAATTATTAGCCGGATGGCCAAAATCGTGACACCGATAGCACTGGAGAGGGCGGCGCGCCAGATGACTGACATCTAGCGTCGTCCACCCCCCTCCAAATTGAGCCTTTTCGCAATTAGCAGCTTGCGCGCCACTCTAGCGGGGCAGCGCATCCACATAGTCCCCATACCCGTGCTAGACAATATCCTGATCTTGCCAGCCTTGAGGTCCTCAGTCCGACATCCCCCAATTATAGCGACCTCCTCCAGGATCTTTTCTCTCTTCGCAAGGGACATTGATCCCCTCAGACGAATGTCTTCCGTTCGAGAGGGGCGGTTAACTCGAACTTCATCCGCTACTGGAAAAGCCTCTCTGAGTTTGCATGCAAGTGCATCCGCCTTCAGAGACGACTCCTTACCGGGGACTGACAGTAAAATACTGCCAGTTACCCCTGTCCTCATTCGAATAGGACCAATGTCCAATTCCTTTAAGTCGACCTTTGCCTTAGCCTCAGAAAGGACCGACGCATACGACTTCCCCTGTCCCCCCCTCCCAATCGTCAGTGAAATCACCGACGCAGAAGGGGGGGGACGAACAGGGACCCCACTCTTCCTCTCCTTGCGGGGAGGTTTCTCCTTAGAGACAGCCTCTCCCACATGTCTCTCCGTCCGAGGGGGCCGCCTGGACCTTCGTCCACGACGGCGCCCCAACTTCCTCTCAGAGGCCCCAAGACCAGAGGCATCCGCCAAAGCCTCCACATTAGTGGAAGCAGCGGAGCCCCCAGCCAAGGGACGAATCACCGGCACAACCGTGCCACCACCTACGCTACTAGTCGGAGCACGTCTGTGAGCCACTCCCCCAGAGAGGGGAGAGGCCCCAGCCAGCTCCGCGAGCTCTGACCTAATAGTGGTCATAACAGATACGGATATGTCGTCCCTCAAGTCGCTAAAGCGACGGTCCAAAAGGGACGACAGATCCGAAGCCATAACAGGGCGATCCTCCACCAAAGGGGTAGCCGACGCCGCCCCCGAACCCTGCGGGGACCCCTCCGAAGAAATAGGGAGGGGCCCCTTGTTCGCATTCTCTCCGTAAAATACATACCCTCAATTTGAGGGATTGCAGAACGGAGAAATCCCAGTTCAGAGGTCAGCCGATCAACCTCTCGTTCCAAGGCCGAAATACGTCCTCTAAGGCCCTGATTCTCGATCCTCAGTGCCTCCATACCCGGATCCGGATCCACCGTGGATCGATTTACCGCCTCTCCAACTATGTCACCCAGTCTCCTTGAGGATACCCGGAGCTCCCCGGCCATGGCATCTCCAAGACCAGGGAGTCCAGCCACCCTCTCAACTTGGGTAACAAATTTCCCCGCCAACCTGCGAAGCTCCATGGTGGTGACACCCTGGAGTTCCCTGCAGAACACCGCATCCGTGGGAGTGTTATCAGCTCCCATGGCAGTGAGTATTGGACCAAAGGAAGGGTCCAATACCCTACGCGCATATTCTATTTTGAGCGCCTCCTTTTCCGCGATATTGAGGCGCTCCCTCTCATTCGCAAGATTGGAGTACTCCCCCGTTTTTATGGGGCGACCCCTCTTACGCGCAGTGCACTTACCTGCAAGTTTACGCGGGTATTGCTTACGTCCCGTAAGCGCCCTTTTGTCCTCGGGAGCCCACGATATATCCCTTTCGGATCTGCACTTTTTAGTTTCTGGGGAGCTAGGCGATGACAGCGAAACAAACGACGGCTCACCCACCTCCACATTCTCATCACTACTAGGACCCCTCAGCACCTCTGGAGAGGGAAGGGATCGAGAGCAGCTACTCTCACCACCAGTTAGTGACGAACAGGGAAACCGCGCACAATCACTCCCTGTTTCGCTCGGCGTGCTCACTTCACTGTCACTAGCAGCAAAGTGTTCAAAAGTCTTGACACATTCGTGAAAGCGACAAAACTGTGTCTTTCCTTGTGCACAGTTCCTCAAAAAGTTTTCGGCATAATTGGCCAGAGTATAATACCCGCCAATATACCGAAACTCGCGCACCTCTTTATCCAACAAAAATTGTTGGAGGTCCAATGCAAGATCCTGTGGATCCACATTCTCGTCCAGGTCCTCCCAGGTCACAGCCAGATTGATGAAACAGTTGTCCATCTCATCCTCTAGCCGTTTCGACACTGTAGCCAACTTGTCTGCGGACCCAGTCGACAAATCCGCAGACGACCTGTCGTCTGTTGACGACATGGAGGGAGCCAGGCCTACACCCCCCCCACGCCGGTTCCTGGTATCCGATCCCAGGACGATCGCTTCTTCTTTGGAACTATCCATGTCTGAAAAAGAAGAAATTGGTTTTTTCTGTCGGGGGTTTTCCTTCCCCTTAGGAGGTTGCCTTGCCTGGCTAACGGGGCCTCCCCCCCGGGTGTTATATTCGGTGTTTTCCTTCACCTAGTGCAGTGGACAAGTCCTTTTAGGGCCTGCACGCCCATCACGCCCCATTCATCCTTCGCACGCACTCCAGCTCGGGTACCTCGGGATTGCGACACCCGTACACTACAGGGATGAGTCTGTAGTGCCCCTGAGGGAATGAAATAGAACCTAACCTAACTTTATTTTACTTTTAGTATATTTATATATTTTATATATATATCTTTATCATATTTCATTGGAAATTATGAGGAATTCATAATTTATA